CACACACACACACACAACCCACCATAAAATCTGTGTGTATGTAAATGTATATGCATTTAATTTTTATACCCAAAAAAAGAATTTTAAATTTTATACTTGATGGGAAAAAAATCTTTGGCACTATAAGGTTATTTTAAATCAACCACAGATAACTATCTTTTGTAAGCTTTAGCAAGCATCATGTATATATAGTCTAGAAAAGATGGTACGGCATTGTTAGAGTACAAATTAAAGATTTAAAAACATTTGCAGTATTACGTTACCTAAAAATCAACTACTAGTATTATTTTAAGCATGAGTAAAGTAACTCACTGTGAAGATTAATTTACACTAAGTCACTAATACAGACACTCTTTGGACATAACTTCACATCCATATACGTATGTACATCTGTATAGGTCATTGGCAATGTAAACGCGCGCAATCTAATACGAGTTCAACCATTACCTTTTGATGTTATACACGATTGCCTTTAAATTTCAATTTAAAAGGGCTAATTTTCACAATTTTTGAGTTGTCATAATCATAATAATTCCACTATGCTTTTCAAATTAGAAAAGAGGGCACCGTAAACACTGCTGCAAGTTGAATAACATACGGAGTAGCTGAAAATCCATGGTTGAAGGTCATGCATCAACGGAAAAACATTCTAAGAGCATCAACTACTTTCTCCGGCCTGTCAAAAGAATGCAGCTCTGACTCGTGAAAATTCTCTTCAGTTACATGAGCTAATATCCATATAAGTAAAAAGGTTGAAATCTATTACCAGTCCTCTTGTGGCATATGGCCAGCACCTTCAATCAGCTTAAGCTTGACAGAATCGGGATTTGCCTTCTGAAATTCCTCCGCAACTGATTGAGGGAGATACTTATCTGATATTCCCCAAACAACTAAAATTGGTTTATCCCAGCTGAAAGTAACATACCGAGTTCCCATATTCCCCAGAAGGAAGAAAAATCAGCGTCAGAAGCAGTTAGAAGTTAGAACTTTGTTATATTTGGGATAGTGAAGAGCTTTAGCCATAGTCATATGCTGGCATGTGTCAAATATAGGAAATCACTGGTGCCCCTAGAGGAATAAACAAGGTAGAACTAGACGTACAATTGAAACTAATAGGTTAACTACATCTAATATGTGTAATAGCATTTGCAACAAGCAAACATGCAACATTCATTAACTCTGAAGTAAGGCTGAGCTTCTGCACTTCTTCACGTGAAGAAATGTGGTGACACTGAAGGTGAAGTCACGTAGCCAACGTAGTGTATGACGTTTGGTCAACAATATGCCTACATGTAGGGAAACCAACACCAGAGCTAGGAATACAATTTGGATTCTGAGAATCAAACTGTATCACTGGACAACTTGGACCAATACAAGGATTGAGCTTTGTTGCTTGCTCTGAGAAATAAACCTAATATGCACGGTGAAGACATACCGAACTGCTATGTACACGAAGTTTATGCAAACAGGCATAACTAAGGAAGACAAAAGTAGATTAAATACCTTCCAGATGCAAAACCACATGATATTTGACTTGCGATCTCATTGAAGTTAGCTTTCCTTGCTGTTTCCAACAAAGCTGAGAATTCAAAGTACCCAGTACTCAGACTCGGGATTAGTCGATAGAACATGATTATCAGTTTTAGAGATTGTCATGTTTCTTCAAATACGTATTTTATAACCCCAAGTACTTAAACAATAAATTTTGCTGCAATAATCAAAAGACTTCTAAGAAAACTAAGACTTGGTGTTCTCTAAGTAGTACTTTGTTTCATTCTTCATTATCATGAGTTCTCTAGTTCATGACTTCATGCCTCATTCAATATTATAAGGCTTAATAAACCTTGAAAGCACAGGACTCACCTGGTCATGAATGGCCACTAGCTTCTACTGAAATTCAACACTTTCTTGTATGAATTATTTTTTTCTTGTATATCTTTGCTCAAACGCATTAGGTTAACGGATGGACAAAGTTGCTAGTCTTTTTGATAGCCGAAGGAGAACGGTGTTAATTAGCGCATGAATGTAACTGCATATAATCAAATTTTACTGGAAAGGTTACAGTCCCTAGGGAGATCCGAAAGGTGAGGCGGACTGCATGGCCCCCAAAAGCATGTTCGAGAATCCTCCTTCACGAATGACGATAGACCACGTGTATTAAAGCAAAGTTTTGCTAGATGATTAAGCATGTTAAGCTAAATGATACAATTTGAAGGACAGAGAATTAGAACATATACAACTATATCTGTTTCTGCAAAGTTGTGGAATAAGATGCAGGTAACAAACCAAATCCAGGTCCACTGCTTGCCAAATATGGTAGCCGGTACACATCAGCCTTCTCCAGCTTTAAGACGTAGCTGTCATGGTAGCATTTTGTTACATAAGAAAGTTGTAGGCAAATGCTAAGATTAAGTGGAGGAAAATAAATTTCTAGTACATTAAGTCTATAGCAACTTTTCATGCCATAGTTTACATATTTATTTTGTATTTGCATGGGGATTGGTATAGTCAATGTTAACAAATTCAAACTTCTTCATAATTCCCTTACTAGGTTATAAATTGGTGTTAATATTCAGGGTATAACAGTGCATTAGCTCCAACTTCTAAGATAATCAACTCGTGCATTCTCAAAAAGCCATAATTCATGGATATAAGTGATTAGAAATGCAAGAGAATAATGTAGGTATCTATGCTCAGTTCTGCGAAGAGGTTAGCTGTTTGAGGATAAATGTCATTAACATGATATGAGCATGATAAAGGATTTTCGTCTGCATACATTGACCAAAAGTACAAAAGAGCAACATGGAAGACGGGGGAGATGAGAGAATTGAGAACAGCCACAACATAATAAGGTACTAGGTTTTTGTTTTCTTATGCTAAAGGCAAATCGCAGGAAATAGTTTTGTAAAATGTAGTCACTCATAGGAACTGGGGAGTGCATCCCCGATTTTTCTATTTAGCAGGGACGTTACCATGGTATCAATAAACATCAGATGGCAATATTATTGCAAGTTCAGAAAGAGAATTTTGAGGATTTAGTGTTTTGTTTTTAAGATGACTTTTACTTTATCTTAATAATATCTGTTGTAAAACACAGGTGAGTAGAGCAACTAATTTAACATCAATCGAAGTGGTAAAATCATACAGTTCTAATTCAAACAATTCTCAACTTGTAATATGCATCTTGGATACCTACGCGCTACCTGCTTCAATGAAGCGCTCTGCCATTACTGCATTCTGGCAAGTAAATTCACCAAAGAACGGAATTCTAAAACAAACAAAGAAGAGAAGTTCAATTAGAAAATAGTTAACTGACAGTTCAGTTTCAAAAACAAGTAATTAAATGAATACGGAACATCTCTCAAGCAATGAAGCAAACTTTTCTTCATGAGATGAATAGATAACAAAAAAGAAGAATTTTGCTCTATATGTTGATTAGCAGTATCCACTGAGGTGTTATGAATCACAACCTCTTGTGGTGTCTTGAGAAAACTACTCATGTCCTCCTGACTAGAGAAAGAAGATAAGCACAGTAAGTTAGAGATGCAATATAAGGAACAAAACAGATTCCACCTAGTTCCCATGATATTATATAGATAAATACACATTTATGCATATGTAAGTTTGTGAAGGCAAGCACATTGAAATGCTGCAACCAAGATGTTTTGAGAGTTTAAAGTTCTCTGTTGTTAACCAATAAAGGACCACCTCAAACAGAAAGCTCAATATAATAGAATCACAGTCTGTGCTAACATTACGCATGGAAGACAAAAAAACAGGGGTTTTGCTGGGTTTTTATGGGCCATTTCCTTGACAACAGTGAGATCCTAGCAACACCAGATCTCTGAGAAATATCATGCTTTCATGTCATCTTGATGAAATTTCAGACTAACCAGATATATAGAAGCTATTTCAATAACCTAAATTCATTCTTTACTAATATGGAGTTAAAGGGTAGAGAGCATTTCTCACATCTACACATAATAAATGCCCATTAAGCAAAGTGAATAATCTAAGTTGAAATCATTCAGTCTGATGCCCAATAGTTTTCGGTTTTCTACATAAAGGGAAGACTAAAAGTAAGTACAATTAGGAGGCTAACTTCCCAGAAATTTGAAAGATAAAAAAAATACTAAAGACCCAAAAAGGGCACAGAAGGCTTCCAATTAGGATTTGAATACCATAATATGTGAAAAGAGCAGTTAATATTCTTCTTGCAACAATCAAGAGCAGTAAATATACCATGAGATGCAAGCAATTGATTAGCTACACAGAAAATGAAACCTGAGCTGCTGAAAAAGTCCAGGAATAGGTGAAGAAACTGTCAGTGGAGTGTTCAGAATCGCAAGCTTCGATATTTTACTGGGATTTTTCAAAGTCCAAGTCAAGCCGTATGAACCCACAAGGAATCCCTACAAATATATTATCAGATGAAGTTAAGCACCTAAGCAGAAGTTCAAAATATTTAGCTTCTACTTTAAGAAATTGATAACTTATAAAACCATCTACAAATGCAAGAAGCCTAAAATTAACAAGCAAGAAATGCAGTAAAATAGCTTTTAAAGTGCAAGAAAGATTATTATATTTAAGATAAATATTTGGTGCCTCATTGGGACAGCGATCGACTGTTTACATAGAAGAGTAGTTATTTTAGATTGTCATGCGCACACCAAAAACTTCTCGAACACAACACTTCCAACAAAATTTTCCTATCTGTCTCATGTTCCTTTATTTTGAATATGGTCATTTCCCCGTCTGATGATGTATACTTCAGTATTGGCACTTGTTTAGTATCACTTCAATTCGTTGATAGCAAAAATAACAGATAAGAAGCATCAATTAATTAGTTCACCCTTCTTCTATTCATTTCTATATATCCTTCTGTTAAAAAAAAATTATTCACACACTGAAGTTCAGTATTAACAAAAAGAGAGAGTTTCTTGGTTAATCAAGCTCTAATATGTAGGAGAATTGATAATATATAACCTCCCATAATAGAGGCCAATAGCTAATCATGTAGCTACGTAGAGTAAAAATATACAAACAGAAATATCTATTAGAAAAAGAAAAATTTCTTCCTAGTTCAACCAAAATCTACACCATCCATTATCATCCAATACTGACCAGTACCAATAATATTCTTCGATATGTAATATAAAATTTTCAGTCCCCGCGTGGTTAATGTCACTCAGACCTGAACTACGAGGAAAAATGGAGACGTCACTCCCAGGACTTCAAGTAACTTCTCGAACTCTTCATGGAACTCTTTCTCTGCCAGTAAAATTGTTCAGAACTTCATAATGTTGCCTAGTTAAGAAAACAACATTCAGATGAAGTAAACTGAAGTTTACAGTGAGAAGGTCTCGATACCAGTGTAGTCGAAACCGTAACCAGGTTGTGGCTTGTCACTAAATCCAAATCCGATCCAGTCAGGTGCAAAGCAGTGGAATCCAGTATCCGCCATCTAGACAGACGGAAAAGAACAATAAAGACCAACATTATCAAGAAGATAAAAAGATCGAGAGATATTCTGAACAGATAAAACTGAAGAACAAGTTATATGGTGACTAGACGAATTCCTCCTGCTTCTGACCAAGATCACGCATTCATATCTTTTAAATCTAAGATGATAACAGCAAAAAGACAGTGACAAAATCAATAGAATCCCCAAATCATCTTATGTAAGTTCTTCTAGGTATTCTTCAAAATATCATACCACCTGCCTTTTGAATATAGTCAGTTTGTCAAGTATCTATTTTAAAAGCATCCCTATAAATTTTCTGAATAATCGAAAACTACTCTAATACATTTGTCCCATTTTAAAAGACTAATTGGAGATGGATTGTAAATAGTTCATATTGACTTATACATCATAGTATAAATTATGGAAGAAGAAAATACTATAGTAAAAGTTGGTTTGACAATAGAAATTTAAAACTGAATAGGTCGATGAACGCAGAAAGATTGTTTAAAAATAGAATGACTGCATAGTTAGTGTGATTAAGAAAACATCACGTCAAAGTTTACAATTTGCTCAATGAATTTAAATATTCTTGAGAGTTGTGAAAATTTTACAAAAATTAAAATGTATGAAATAATTCGGAACATCCCAAAGTAGAAAGAATGCCATATAAATTGAGTTGCATGAAGTGCTAAGTAAATGTGAAACATAATACTACCAAGTTAATACATTGACAAATATGTCAAGTAAATAGAAATAGGCACCATGAAAAGAGCCAAGGTCCTGATCAGTCCTGACTATCCTAAACTGTTAGCAAAATTTTCTAACTCCAAAGGTAGTAAAATCTAATATCAGAAAGAATTAGAACCTGAGACATAACAACTCGATAGCTGTATGATTGTGTTGGAGCTCCATGGAGAAATATAACTGTCCCACGTCTGCTTTCAGGTGATCCTGCAATGGGCAAACTTGAACATTTTGAAGTCCTTAAACTACAAACAAAATGAATTCAACCAGAATGCAAATAAAAATCTCACCTGTTTCTCTCACAAACCACCTAAATTTTCCTGATTTGACATATGATCCGTACTCCTTTCCTTTGTCTTCAATTCTCTACACGAAATAATCACTAAGTTACTTCAATGATTTTAGATTCTGTGAAGAATTTCAGGCTGGAACTAGTAATCTAACACAAATGCAGGGTTAATTTTATGCATCGTCACTAAACTTTACACATTGCATCAAAGCATCAGCAAATTCACAAGACTACTTTTTGTATCATTAAAGTCACTAAACTTTAGCATGTTGTATAAGTAAAGTCACAAATTTATTTTCTGTATAATTAAAGTCATCTAATTTTTTTGTATTAGCAAAGTAACGAAACTATTTTTCGTATCATTAAAATCACTGAATTTCGAGTATACAGGAAATAATGCAAGTATAAGACAAGAAATTGAGTTACGTAAAGCATTTGGCCGACGTTTCCGTCCTCAGCAGGACTCTCAGGCATCTGAATTGCGCTTCGGCTAGACGGATTGTCAGTGACAAAACCGAACGGGTTGAATGCCGGTTTATCATCATCTTTCTCTGAAGAAGCTCTCGTGAGAACCGGAAGTGCCGGTCCGGTTCTGCTTCTGCTTGTCCATAGCCTTCTGAAATGGCCGGAGAATTCAGCCGATAACGAGGAAGTGGAACCGAGAAAGCATAGAGCAGACGGAGAAGGAGAGAGGAGAGAGAGAGTCATCGCGATGAGTGGAGGGAGTTTGAATCCAACGAACACCACTAGCTTTTTATTGATTCTGAATATTCTTTATAGTGTGGAAAATAAATGGATAAATCTTAAATGAAACTGTTACATGGGCTTTTGGACATGCATATTATTTGCAAATTATTGAAATAAGTACTATTCATACTTTAATATAATTACTTTTAAAAGTTTGTCAATTATTTCAATTTCTACTTACACTCGAGATTTCAAAGTTGAACAATTGCTTTGAGGAGTATTTTAATCACTCACAAAATTTCAAAATTTTAAGGAAAATATATATCTAACAAAATTATTCTCTTTAATTCAAATAACTAACTTTTTCACTTCAGGCAAATATTTTAAGTAGACCCTAAATTTCATCGATAATCCTCGATTTATACACTCTTCTGCTTGAGCCTGCGGGAAAGTTCAATAATGAATTATGGAATAGCGTAAACACCACTAAAGATTTGTGGTGGAATAATATATACTCCTACTTTTTAGGAGTCGTTTGGTAGGAGGTATTAGAATTCTAAACTAGATCACTTGTGTTCGAGCTTTGAGAATTCAATTGTCTTTGGGGTCTTTACACAAAATCAGAGCAATCAAGCCTCAAAAGAACATATAGAATATCGGGTAAAAAATTAAAATAAAATAAGCGAAAAATGAGACAGGAAGTTTCGACAATGAAATGCATCGACACTCACTTTAACTATACATGTAATTAAGAAAGAAAAATTATGGATACTAAATTACTAATTGTAAAGATACCATAACTTTTAGTGTTTGGAGTGAAATTACTATATTTAATTCATACTTCAACGAATCTTGAACAACATGTAATATTTTTTCCCGTTGATATGTAACATACTTTCATCTTACAACAATTAGGCTTCGCATTAATTTTAAGGAGGAGAAAAAGGAAGAGCAAGATGTTCCTCTAAAATTAGTTCATGACTTTATACCGTGCAATAAAATCACATTTCTTTGATCATCTTCTCAACAAGAGCATTGTTTTGGCTAAGTTAAAGATCTTTGTTTACAGAATCATTTGATTACTATGTGTCGTACTTCAAAAATATGTACCAAAGAAAATAAGAATTGCTTATAAAAATAATCTCACCATTGATTATTGGACAAGTTTAAAAGTACTTAGTGCATCAAAAGATACATTGCAATATACATTAAAAAAAATCCGTACATGATCACATGCCATATAAATATTTTCGTAAAACTAAGATTAGTCTAAAGCTTATACATACGTTAACCATTTACTCGAGGACAAATACAAGCGGGGCAACTATGTGAGAAATAAAAACAATGTGTCAAGTGTTATAAAATAAAAACTTTAAAGTAAATAAACCGAAGACAAGTATAGAAAGAGAGATTGATATTATTCAACTTCAAATTGATGTACATAATGAACTGAAATCTCCTCTATTTATAGAAGAAAGGAAGATGTTGTGTAAGCTTCTTGTAAGCTGTTGTGCAAGCTGCTTGTAAGTTGCTACTGCAAGCTGCTGTGTAAGTTGCTTGTAAGGTGCTACTGTATCAGATATAGATAATCTTCTGCCGGGGGTAATATTTATCCATAACGGAGTACCGAAATGAAAGCTTATTTCCAATAGAGTACTAAATAGATAACCATATTTACGGCGTGGTCCCATATGGATAAGCTTCNATATATAACACTCTCCCTTGGATGTTCATTAAAAGATAATGTGTCTCATTAAAACCTTACTAGGAAAAACCCCGTGGGAAAAAATTCTAGTGAAGGAAAAAGAGTACACATATTTAGTAATACGCTAGGTGCCTCGTTAAAAACCTTATAAGGAAAATCCCATGGGAAAAAACCTTAGTAAGGAAAAAAGAGTGCATCGCGTATTTTACTCCCCCTGATGAAAACCTTGTTTCAAATATTTGAGTCTCCGCATTCCAATCTTGTATACCATCTTCTCAAAAAGTTGAATTTGTAGAGAATATTATCCACCACTATTTCAGATCGATTTAAATTAATCTCATCAAACCAAGAAGTTGCTACAAGTTATTTCATTGAGTTCCTTGCAACTTGTCTGCATCAGCTGCTTGTAGAAAACTTCAATGGAGTACTAAATGGATAATTTTCTTCAGGAAGATTATCTACAACGGAGTAATAAATGGACATTCACAATAATATTTTCATTACACTCCCCTTTGGATGTTTATTATTATGTGTCTCGTTAAAATCTTACTAGAAAAAACCTCGTGGAAAAAAATCCTAGTCAAGGAAAAAGAGTACACTAATAATATACATTGCAAGCTGCCTCATTAAAAACCTTACCAGGAAAAACCCAGTGGGAAAAAACTCGAGCAAGGGAAAAAGAGTACAGTGTAGAGACTTGGGTATATCTGGACCAATGAGTTCATCATTCTCTTTTAGAGGTAAGAACGGATCCTTAATCCGTGTAGGAGATCTTGCTAGTAAATTAACAAAAAATGTTATGTCATGCCTTGTAGCATTAGCAAGATACATTAGGGCACCAATTGCACTAAGATAGGGTACTTCAGGGCCAAGGAGTTCCTCATCCTCTTCTGGAGGCCGGAACAAATCCTTATCCACTTCAAGTGATTGAACAACCATTGGTGTACTCAATGGGTGCGCTTTGTCCATGTAAAAGCGTTTTAAGACCCTTGCTGTATATGCAGATTGATGGATAAAGATCTCGTCTGCTAAATGTTCAATTTGCAGACCAAGACAAAGTTTTGTCTTCCCAAGATTTTTCATCTCAAATTCTTTCTTAAGATATTCAATTGCCTTTTGGAGCTCTTCTAGAGTTCCAACAAGATTTATGTCATCAACATAAACAGCAAGTATAACAAATTCTGAAGCCATTTTCTTTATAAAAATACATGGACAAATAACATCATTTATGTAGCTCTCTTTCAGCAAATATTCACTGAGGCGATTATACCACATGTGTCCATATTGCTTTAAATCGTACAAAGATCTTTGTAATCTGATTGAGTACATTTTCTGAGATTTTGAATATGCTTCAGGCATTTTAAATCATTCAGAGATCTTTATAGAGATTTGATCAAATGAGTCATATAGGTTATGACTCGCATTTAAATGTCATGACATCTTCAGGTGTCTAGACTACTGGTGCGATCCTCATAATATTTTACAGTATTGTGCACTATATTGTATCAAATATATCGTCGACGATCATTTTATATCGGTTCGCGAGCGACAAAACTTGTTGAGATCTCATCACTTTCTTTATATTCAGGTACCTGAACTTCTTCTGGAGTCTCATGAAATATTATGTCGTGGGCTCTTCTAGAGCTCATTTCCTCCTCATTATGATCATTTTGATCATTAGCTCCTTATCATTTTTCAAGGATTGTTACCTTTGGAACTGATTGGTCTACCACGCTTCATGTGTACAGTAAACTCTATCCTTCAGGGACTTTAAATTTTAATATGAGCATTTATAGCTGAAATATGATATTTAATTTTGGATCAGCAAATGCTTCTGGCATTTTACTTGAATTATCTTCTAAGTGAGGATCATATTAATGATAATTCGATTCATATAACATATTTTTCATCTGTTTATCCCCCAAATGTTAGAAAAACTAACATACATCCCCAATCTTCTTTGGGAAACATATCTTTGTGCATTGTAGTAGAGAAATTAATCATATGCCACACATCAAAAGATAGTAAAAATATTTGGTTTCTAATCCTAAACCAATTGTGAGGGGATGACTTATCATATATTGTTGGTCTGATGCATACAAGTGCTGCTATATGCAATTTAGAAAATCTTAGACCAGCACATGAAGCTTTATTCTCATAAGCAATGATTTAGCCATTAATAAGAGGTATTCAATGCTAAACCAGCTTGGATATAAACCAGCATTATCAAGATGAACTGTCTTGATTTCATAATCTGAAAGTTCTGCTCTTAGTTGAGAAAAGCAATGTCAAATGTCAAACTGCAGGTTGACAATGAACACACATGTAACCATCTTATATATACATCTATAAGTGGTTCACATGATAGGTGAATGGGCCCATATTCATCTTTTATATATTTCAGAATCAGGGGTCTTAGCCCCAACTTTAGCTGGTATAATCAATTTATTATGAGAACAAGCAACACAAGAGAATTCTTGAAGAATCTTCTAGTTCTTCAGTATATGCTTATCTGAATTCTACGAGAATGCTTTTTTCTTAGAATGATATTTAATAAAATTATTCAAGATATTTTACATACAACGGATACGTGCGGCAATGATCTTTATGCCACAAAAACAAAATTTATATCCTTTGTTATTCTACCTCTTCAGGAGGTGAGTTGTGGTATTTCTTCATTCACTCTAGAAAATGAAAATGTGCTTCAAAAATAACTTTGAATAACTTATTAGTTTATTTAAGCACAGAAAGACAAAGTTTCATAATATTTTCCTTCTTCAGGAGAAAATTTTAATTGTGTTACTTCTTCAGGAGCAAATTTAAAATACGAGAAAAAATGAGTATATATTCTCTCAATCATATTACCTCTTCTAAAGGTGAATTGCAATATATTTACATCAAAAACGCGTTCATATTTACGAGCTTTATTAATATTGTCACATTCACTTCGGGGAATGGATTAATATTTATCAAAAGTTCTTATCCTTCAGGGAATGGAACATAATTATCTGAACGTGCATTAATCATACCAAATCGTTTATCTGCATAACAAATGCTTGTGTTACTAACACTGTCACGACCCAAACCGAAGGGCCGCGACAGGCACCCGGTGCCTTACTCAACCGAGTACCAACGTAACATATCTTTCTTATCATGTTATCATGAGTAAATGAGCTAGAAAACTCGTCCTGAGATAACAAGAATAAAACATAAGGGAATAGTCAACATATGAAGACC